TAATAGGAGTACTGTGTATGACACAATAAACGCCTGTCAACAAACTATTATACAGAATTACAGCAATCAATAGCAATGGCCTGGACAAGCATCCATCCATCCATTTTCTTCCGCTTATCCGGGGTCGGGTCACGGGGGTAGCAGCTTAAGTAGGGAGGCCCAGACTTCCTTCTCCCCAGCCACTTAGGCCAGCTCCTCTGGGGGAATCCCAAGGTGTTATCAGACCAGCCGAGAAACATAGTCCCTCAGCCTCCGGTCTCCTCTCGGTAGGACGTGTCTGGAACACCTCACCAGGGAGGCATCCAGGAGGCATCCTAACCAGATGCCCAAGCCACCTCAACTGGCTCCTCTCGACGTGGAGAAGCAGCAGCTCTACTCTGAGTCCCTCCTGGATGACTGAGCTTCTCACCCTATCTCTAAGGGAGAGCCCAGACACCCTGCAGAGAAAACTAATTTCAGCTGCTTGTATCCGAGATCTCGTTCTTTCGGTCACAACCCAAAGCTCAGGACCATAGATGAGGGTAGGAATATAGATCGAATGGTAAATTGAGAGCTTCGCCTTTTGACTCAGCTCTCTATTCACCATGACAGACCAGTACAGCGCCCGCTTCACTGCCGATGCTGCAGCTATCCGCCTATCTATCTCACGCTCCATTTTTCCCTCATTTGTGAACAAGATCCCAAGATACTTGAACTCCTCCATTTGGGGCAGGACCTCCTCCCCGATCCAGAGAGGGCACTCTACCCTTTTCTGGCTCAAGCCCATGGCCTCAGATTTAGAGGAACTGATCCTCATCCTGGCTGCATCACATTTGGCTACGAACTGCTCCAGTGAAAGTTGTAGATCACGACCTGATGAAGCCAACAGGACCGCATCATCTGCAAAAAGCAGAGACACAATCCTAAGGTCACCAAAATGGATCCCCTCAACACCTTGGCTGTGCCTAGAAATTTTGTCCATAAAAGTTATGAACAGAGTCAGTGACAAAGGGCAACCTTAGAGGAGTCCAACTCTCACTGGGAACAAGCCCGACTTACTGCCAGCAATGCAGACCAACAGCTCATATCAAAGGGCTAGTACCCCATACTCCCGGAGTACCTCCCACAGGATTACCCCAGGGACGTGGTGGAACACCTTCTCTAAGTCCACAATGCACATGTAGACTGGTTGGGCAAACTCCCACGCACCCTCCAGTACCCTGCTGAGGGTGTAGAGCTGGTCCAGTGTTCCACGACCAGGACAAAAACTGCCCTGCTCCTTCTGAATCCGAGGTTCGACTGTCCAATGGACCCTCCTCTCCAGAACCCCTGAATAGACCTTACCAGGGAGGCTTAAGAGTGTGTTCCCCCTATAGTTGGAACACACTCTACAGTCCCCATTTTTGAATAGGGGGACCACCACCCTGGTCTGCCTATCCAGGGGAACTGCCCCCAATGTCCACGCAATATTGCAGAGTTGCGTAAGCCAAAACAACCCTACAATATCCAGAGCCTTAAGGAACTCCGGGCGATTCTCATCCACCCCTGGGGCCCTGCCACCAAGGAGCTTTTTAACCACCTCTGTGATATCAGCACCAGAGAATGGAGAGCCCGACCCAAAGTCCCCAGGCTCCACTTCCTCAGCGGAAGACGTGCCGGTGGAATTGAGGAATTCTTCAAAGTACTCTGCCCAGCGATCCACGACATCCCGAGTTGAGGTCAGCAGCACACCACCCCCACTTTAAACAGTGTTGGTGGTGTACCGCTTTCCCCCCCGAGAAGCCAGATGGTGGACCAGAATTGCCTCAAAGTCGTATAAAAGTCATTCTTCATGGCCTCTCCGTACTCCTCCCACGCCCGAGTTTTTGCCTCAGCAATTACTTGAGCCGCATGCTGCTTGGACTACCAATACCCATCAGCTGCTTCTGGAGTCCCACAGGCCAAAAAGGCCCAATAGGACTCCTTCTTCAGCCTGACAGTATCCCTCACCGCCGGTGTCCACCACCGGGTTCGAGAGTTACCGCCACGACAGGCACTGACAACCTTACAGCCACAGATCCAATAAGCCACCTAGACAATAGAGGTGCAGAACATGGCCCACTTGGACCCCATGTCCCCAACTTCCCCCGGAACGTGTTTGAAGCTCTCCCGGAGGTGGGAGTTAAAGCTCTGTTTGGACAAGCAAAGACCTTGTATTACATCTGATCTGGATTTGTGACCATGACCTTAAAGCTGGGGTAAAAAAAATTATTATGATATGTTGTGTGGTAGGGAGGGCAACACAGTGGCTCAGTCGGTAGAGCTGTTGCCTCTCAGTGAGAAGGATGGATTCAAATCCCAACCGGGGACCTTTCTTGATTGGGTTTGCATGTTCTCTCTGTGCATGCATGGATTTTCTCTAGGTACTCTTGTTTCCTCCCACAGACCAAAAACATGCATGTTAGACTGATTGGTAACTCTAAATTGTCTCTAGGTGTGAGTGAGAGAGTGAATGGTTGTTTGTATCGTTTTCTCTATGTGTCCCTGTGATGGACTGGACACCTGTCCAGGGTATCCCCCACCTCTCACACAGTGACAGCTGGATATGGGCACCAGTGACCCCCTCGACCAGAAAAGTAAAAACTGGGTAAAGATAATGTATGTATGTATGTATGTATGTATGTATGTATGTATGTATGTATG